CCTGGGCGCCCCCCTGGGGGCCCCCCTGGGGGCCCCCCCGGGGGGCCCCCGGGGGGCCCCCCCGGGGGGGCCCCCGGGGGGGCCCCCGGGGGAGCCCCCGGGGGGGCCCCCGAGGACCCCTGGGGGAATCCAGGGGGGCCCCCGGGGGGCCCCCTTGGGGGGCCCCCCGAGCTGCGAAGGAACTTTTATGGGTACAGTTTTAGGGGGGATGGGGGGCCCCCTGGGATGGGGGCCCCCGAGTGGGGGCCCCCCTCGCAAATGAGGCGCAGCAGCACATTGCAGAGTAGTCATGAGTACCAAGTGTTATATAATCAGCAGCAGCAGCAGCAGCAGCAGCAGCAGCAGCAGCAGCAGCAGCAGCAGGGGGAGCAGCAGCGGTGCCAGGCGTGGTTCCGGCCTGCGGAGTCTGCGGACGGCGGAGCAGCAGCAGCGGGCGCAGCAGCAACAGCAGCAGCAGCAGCAGCAGCAGCAGCAGCAGCAGCAGCAGCAGCAGCAGATCAAGGACACAGCGAGTCCGCATTTAAAGCAAAAGAAAAAGAAAAAATAAAAACTGCTTTGCTGCACTACAAAAGCCTTTCAGCAGACGAAGCAGCAAGGCCAGAAATATACGGAGACCTCCAAGTCCGCTGCTGCTGCTGCTGCTGCTGCTGCTGCTGCTGCTGCTGCTGCTGCTGCTGCTGCTGCTGCTGCTACTGCTGCTGTGGTGCTGCGTGTGCTGCTGCTTTTCTTGCTGGTGCTGCTGGTGCTGCTGCTGCTTTTCTTGCTGCTGCTGCTGCTGCTGCTGCTGCTTTTCTTGCTCGTGATGGCGCTGCTGCTGCTCGTGCTGCTGGTCTTAGTGCTGCTTCTGCTGCTGCTGCTGCTTCTGGTCTTGCTGCTGATGCTGCTAGTTTTGCTGCTGCTGCTGCTGCTGCTGCTGCTGCTGCTGCAGGTTATTGTTGACATAGATGATACAGTGCGCTCCAGCGGCGGGGTCACTTTCCTCTCTGTCAGCCTCGGAGGTAACAAACCCTAAACCCTAAACCCTAAACCCTAAACCCTAAACCCTAAACCCTAAACCCTAAACGCTGGAAACCCCAGGTGCTGGGCGCCACGCTCTCACCCCCCAGCTGACTTCTAAACCCTAAACCGCGCGCTCAAAACCCCAACCCCGAAACCCTACAAAGCCCTAATCCCTACAAAACCCTAAACCCTAAACCCTAAACCCTAAACCCTAAATCCGTTTTTTGAGCTTTCGGTCCGTGGCAACTGGGGAAGCATGTGGAACTGAACAAGTAGAAGAAAGAAAGAAATAAAAGAATGAAAAAGAATGAAAGGTTTGCTGCCAAGCTGCTGCTGCTGCTGCTGCTGCTGCTGCTGCTGCTGCTGCTGCTGCTGCTGCTGCTGCTGCTGCTGCAGCTGTGTCGACACACAGTACGCCCGCGGCCACTTCTACCCCGGCTGTTTTCAATTTCTTTTTGAATTATCTTTTTTCAAATGCAAAACCCCACAAAGGCCTTTGTCCCTCGCCGTCCTCACCGCCAGAATCCCCCAGGTCCTGCTGCTGCTGCTGCTGCTGCTGCTGCTGCTGCTGCTGCTGCTGCTGGTTATGGTGATGGTGGTGATGGTGGAGGTGGGGGTTGGACTGCTGCTGCTGCTGCTGCTGCTGCTGCTGGTGATGGTGATGGTGGTGATGGTGGGGGTGGGGGTTGCGCTGCTGCTGCTGCTGCTGCTGCTGCTGCTGCTGCTGGTGATGGTGATGCTGCTGCTGCTGCTGATGGTGATGCTGCTGCTGCTGCTGCTGTTGCTGCTGATGGTGATGCTGCTGCTGCTGTTGTTGATGGTGATGGTGATGCTGCTGCTGCTGCTGTTGATGGTGATGCTGCTGCTGCTGCTGCTGCTGCTGCTGCTGCTGCTGCTGCTTGGGGTTTTTGCACTTAGACGGTGGCCTGCTTCGCCGCTGCTCAAAGGCTTTAGGGTTTAGGGTTTAGGGTTTAGGGTTTAGGGTTTAGGGTTTAGGGTTTAGGGTTTGGCTGCAGGTGCCGATAACATTCGACAATCCAATAAATGCGAAATTGCGGCTGACAGCTTTGAGGAGAGGAGTTAGAGATTGGGGCATAGACTGCGACAACAAGTAACCCTAAACCCTAAACCCTAAACCCTAAACCCTAAACCCTAAACCCTAGCTCTTGTAAACCCTGAACCCTACCGGTTTCAAAGCGTAGACCTTCGCTGCTGCAAGCCTTAAACCCCAGCTGCTGCAAACTGTAAACCCTAACTGCTGCAGACCCTAAACCCTAGCTGCTGCAAACCCTAAACCCTAGCTGCTGCAAACCCTAAACCCTAGCTGCTGCAAACCCTAAACCCTAGCCTCGGCTTTGCCGAATCCCCTGTGTATCCTCCGAGCGGAATAAAAGGCGAATTAAAAATTTACAACTATTGAATCAGTTTTATTTAATTAATTTAATTAATTAAATTAAATTAATTAATTAATTTAATTAAATTAATTAATTTAATTAAATTA